GCTGCTGCTGCTGCTGCTGCTGCTGGTATGGGGAGGTGCAGCGGCAGCAAGCTGCTGAAGAAGCTGCTGCCGAGAGCCTCCCCCACCAGCAGCCGCCAGTCTGGGTCTCTCTCCAGCAGCGCCACCACCAGCTCAACTGTCTCCTCAGGCACCTCAAGCCACACGGGGTGAGTAAACTCCAGCTTGCCGTGCAGCACCTGCAGCAGCAGCAGCAGCAGCAGCAGCAGCAGCAGCAACAGCAGCAGCAGCAGCAGAAATGGGAGCAGCAGGGACAATAGCAGCAGCATAAATAGTAACGACAGATATAGCTGCTGCAGCAGCAGCAATACCAGCAACCGCAGCAGCAACAGAAGAGGCGGCAGCAGCAGCAAGTATGGCCTGAATCGAGCCAACTCCAGCAGAAACTGCAGCAGCAAAAGGTGATGCTGCTGCTGCTGCTGCTGCTGCTGCAACCCGCAACATGAAGGGTACCACACAGGCCAGCAGCATCCACCTAAACACGTACCAGCCGCAGTATCCATGCCAAACAGCAGCAGCAGCAGCAGCAGCAGCAGCCGCAGCAGGGGCAGGACGAGCAGCAACAGCAGCATAACCAGCAGCAGCAGCAGCAGCAGCAGCAGCAGAATTTCTTACATTGTAGGCAACAGCAGCATCATCGGGGCCATCAAAGGGCAGCTCCCCGCAGAGGAGGAGATACAGCATCACCCCACAGCTCCACGCGTCAGCGCGCTCACCATCATACCCCCCCCGCTGCAGCTGCTGCTGCTGCTGCTGCTGCTGCTGCTGTTGCTGCTGCGAGTCCGTAGCCTGCTGCTGCTCTCCCAGTGGAGCTTCCTGCTGCTGCACAGCTATGCCTTCTTCTCCTTCTTCTTCTTCTTCTTCTTCTTCTTCTTCTTCTTCTTGCTGCTGCTGCTGCTGCTGCTGCTGCTGCTGCTGCTGCTGCCGTATGGCCTCGGTCTTACTCATAATATCGGCAGACAGCCGCAGCACCTCCGGCGCAGCGAAGCAAACAGTTCCAGCAACAGACTGCAGCAGCACCTTCCCTTCATCCTGTTGCTGCTGCTGCTGCTGCTGCTGCTGCTGCTGCTCTTGCTGCAGCAAGCTCCCCTCAGCCAACCCAACTGCCTGGCTGTTGAAGGCCTGAGCAGCGTCTGTTGATCCGGCAGCAGCAGTATGTAGAGCAGCGCGGACTGCAGCAGCGGGTGTAGCAGCAGCAGCAGCAGTAGCAGCAGCAGCTGCAGCACCAGGAGCAGCAGCAGCAGCAGCAGCAGGAGCAGCAGGAGTTGCAGCAGCAACTGCTGCTTCTACAATATCCATCAACGACTCACGCCTGGGGGGGCCCCGGCGACGCGAGAAGCGACGAGCCAAGCCAAAGTCCGTCAGCTTCAGCGCCAGGCTGCCGGGCTCAGCCAGCAAGAAATTCTCTGGCTTTATATCCCTGCAGCAGCAGCCGCAGCAGCAGCAGCAGCAGCAGCAGCAGCAGCAGCAACAGCAGCAGCAGCAGCAGGTTTGAAGAAGAAAGGGGTCTTCACTACCCAGGCGCACGCAGCGTCACCCGAGTGATATCTTTCTGCGCTAGCTAACTGCAGCAGCAGCAGCAGCAGCAGCAGCAGCAGCAGCAGCAGACCTGTGGCATATGCCGTGTTGGTGGCAGCAGTGAGCAGCAGACAGCACTTGATACATAATCAGCGCAGCCTCGTGTCTGGAGAAGCGAGGACGGGGGCGGCTGCTGGGTATGCGGCAGCGGCCGTCGCAGCTGCAGTTGCTGCTGCTGCTGCAGCTGCAGCTGCAGCTGCTGCTGCTGCCCTTAGCCAACTCATCAAACAACTCCCCCCCACGACACAACTCCATCACCTGAAACAACAGCAACAACAGCAGCAGCAGCAGCAGCAACAGAAGTAGCAGCAGCAGCAACACATCAAAGGAACCAACAGCAACAGAAGTAGC